TGAGTTAGTATTTCATTTTTTGTAGGAGGTAAGTTTGTTATTTGGTATTTAGTAGAATTAGGAAAATTAGCAGATTTAAGAAAGGTATTTTGGTTAATTAGTGGTTATTTGATTTTTGTGCAAATTGGTAAATTATAGAATTTGTAGTAGAGGTGAGGAGGGAGTATAATGTAATTTGGAAGTATTGGTTCTTTTGTATTTGTATAGATATGAGTTTCATTTTGAGATACATTTATTGAGATTTTAAGTGGGAGTAGATATGATAGTTTTTGTAAGTGTTTAAGAAATAAATAAAGTGTTTCATTTTTACTGAGTATAGGAAGATTGTTTATAAGTAGAAAGTTGTTAAAACAAGTAATTTCTTCAGTATGAGATGATATATTGGTAACTGAAGGGAATAATAATTCTTCTGTAGAGTCACTCGCTATATACTCAGTTATCATAATTGTGCAAGAGTCCAAAGCCTGTCTTGTATATTGGGTCTGGTCATCATAAAGTTGGTCTTTTATGTATAGTATTATTTTTAATTTATGTAAATTGAAATTAAACTAATTTTTATAATAATAAACTCTGATTAAGATTAGAGTTAGAGTAAGGCCTGGAATTTTATTAGATATTAAATAAATACAAAATTTAGCAAGTAATTTTTTTTATTAGAGCTCCAAAAGAAGTTTCATAAGTAAAATTTTGAAATATTGATTATATGTATATGCATATACTAGTATACAAATAGAAATTCTCTTTATTTGTTTATTTATTTTTTTTTCACTATCGCAGCTAAATTTAACTACTTTTATAATACTTTTTTTTCATCTTTTTTTTTTTTTTTTTTTTTTTTTTTTTATTTTATTTTTCAACAAGCTGTCTACAGATTTTTATTAAGTATTAATTTTAAGTTAAATTTGTTAGTGAGAATACAATTAGCTACATGTACAACTTTAGTCATTATCTATTTACAGATTCCGCTATATAGGTTATCTACCAATTGCTATATCTAGTATCTGCCTATAGATACTCTATTTAAACCTTCTGGCATTATAGTAAAACTCTATTTTTAACCTAATATTTGTATATCTATGTTAATCTTGTGCTGCTTCATTTGAGGACCACTCAGACCAACTTGTGCCTCAAATTGTCTTCATAGGACTAAGCTCTATTACAAGGTACCCTTCTGCATTTTATTCTGGTGAGAGCTTGTGAATGACTCTAACTATACTATGCTATATCCAAATTAAGCTAGCATATACCTTTATCAGTGTTCGTACAAACCCAGTTTCTTTTGTAGCACTCCACCAAATTGGTCTAGTTCTTCTGAATATTTTATGAGATAGATCCTCCCAAATCCAGTTAGCCACTAAGCCAGGTTGGTGTTATCTTTCGTGTAATATTACATCACACTTGACTTTTCTATTACACTAAAGACTTACTCGCACCTACTCAGTCTGCATTCTTTGTATCTAGATTTCCTCTAGATCAAGCATCAAACTAGTGTAACTATTGAAATCTGTATTACATCACTTAATTCAGGATTTCTACTATGTAGGTCTCCTGCTTGTAGATCCTATCAAGATTTATTTGTATAACATTACATCATACTTGACTTTTCTATTACACTTCTAATACCTGATTGATATTGGTACAACATGATTTATAGAGTTACAATACCAGAAACGGACAGGGTTTACCGTAAATTGGATACAAAGGTCTGAGTAATTATTCAAATTCATTGATAGTAGGATTTGAACCCCAAACCTCTTACATGACAGTCTGGAAACCTAACCACTACACTAAGATTGCCAGACCTTTCTTTTTATCTTAAACTATATAATTACTACTGTATAGTTCCAAAAATAAGCATCACTCAAAAATAAGCACTCCTATATATTAGTTATATCCGAAAATAAGCACTCTCTGTAAAAACTGGTTTTTAATATTAAATATGCTTTAATATGATTAGATAAAAGTAATATTGCATGAACAATTATATAGAATATAAATTTACACATTAAATATAATAGTATAATATATTTATATTTCTACCTCTTGTAAATAAAGCTTTTTATACATGTCAAGACTATAATTTTGTAGAAATTGGATATATGTCCAATTGTCCAATAATTTTATTGAATGAAAATTTAATATATACCAGTAAATTAAAAAAAAATACAAAAATTATCCTGAAGTATTTAGCTACCTTGTTTATTTTTTTTTAAAAAAAAATTTTAATTACCGTAATCGATGATTGTAGCTACATAATAAAGTCGAAATATTTATAAGTAAATCTATAATGATGTCTTCAGTAAAGTTTTTCGGAAGAATATATTATACAAATTCTGAAATTTAACATAATTCAGATAACTTTTTATTAATAAGCTTTTGCACCTTATATTTGTCCAAACAAATTCTAAATTTTGATTGCACAAACGTAAGATGCAAAAGCTTATTAATAAAAAGTTATCAGAATTATGCTAAAATTTCAGAATTTGCGTAATTTATTCTTCCGAAAACTTTACTTAAGATACTAATATTAATTTACTTATAAATATTTCGACTTTATTATGTAGATACGATCATCGATTAATTAAAAAAAATTTTTTACTTGTTAAGAATTTAGAAATAACATTTAATATAAATACTGTATATATATGCTGATATATTATTTTAGTTTATTACTTTGGTTAAGATTTTTAATTATAATATAGTAAATTATTTTAATTTACCAGTATATTTAATAAATATTTTTTATGTCCAATAAAAAATTTTATAATGTCTAATCAAAATTATTTAGACAATTGGATATTGTTCAAATATCCAATATTATAATATACCATCTCTAGATAGATGTATATATAAATAAAATAGGTAAATAAAATAAATGAATGAAGACTAAGTGATAAAGTAAGTAAATAGATTGATGGATAGATAAACGAAGAATAAGTGATAGAGTAATTGAGTAAATGGATAGTTGGATAGGTAAATTAATTAAATAAATAAAGATGAGCGATAAAAAGGTAAACAGATAGATAGATAAATAAATAGTATAAATAAATAAATGAATAAAGAATAAATGATAAAGTGAGTAAATAGATATTTAGAAAAATAAATAAATAGATGAATAGTACTTTAAGTTATACTCACCTCTTTTTAGCTCTAATTTCATTTTAAAAGCGATAATCTAAGATTTTTATTATTCTAATAAAACTTTAACGCTCATCATTTTCTAATACTGCACAGTAGTGTACTATAACAGATGACATTGTCACCTCGATAATAGCAGAGTTTGTACTGATAGTTTTTAAGAGATTATGTTTGAGATGAACAAGATTATCTATAATATATAAATAAGGTTATAAATTGCATAGCATTTTTTGTATCAGCAGAATTTTGACAATACACGAAATACCTTAAAATTAATTTTTGAATTTTTAATATAATCTTCTTAAAGTATCAAATTCTCGTATTGTTAGTATCTAATTTGTAATCAATATTAAACAGGCTCTTACCAGCATAATGAAATATTTATTTGAAAAAAATTCTAGCGTCTAAAAAAAAAATTCTAACATCTAAAAAAAAAAAAAAAAACAATCCTAGTATCTAAAAAAAATAAATTCTAGTATGGATCTAAAAAAAAAATTCTAGCATATATCTAAAAAAAAAAAATCTAATCAAGATTTTGTCCATGAGTTAAAAATGCATTATTTCTATGAAAAAAAAAGAAAAAGCAAAGCCGTAAAGCCTTTATGTTCAGTATATACTATAGAAAAAAAAAAGGTTACGAATAACTAACAAAAAAATTTGTTAATTACTTAAATCAATGACCTCTAATTCTTCATTTTCCTTATTATGATCTGAATTACCCAATAAACCACAATATTCAAAAGACCGAATAATAATTTCAGTAGAAATATTTTTCCATGAATTTTTGATCCATCTACATACATCACTAATTCTTGCATGTCTAAGATTTCCCTTAGTAGTTTTACCTGCACCACCTTTTGACATCCAAATATACCACTCCTTACGAAGATGGTCTTTAAAAGGTTTGTTTATAGCAATATCAAGTGGTTGGCATATACTAGTCAAGCCACCAGGAATTACTGCTAAATTATATCCATTCTCACGAAATTTTTTTTTTACTGAATCTTCCAAATGTCCACTAAATGAATCATATACCATCATTGCTGAGGTTTTATGCTCATGATTTCTTTCACCTTCAAGATAATTAATATATCTTGTCATTAAACTAGTATCCATCCATTCATTCTTTTGAAATCAGATAATAATACCAGAAGGAATTTGTTCTTTACGTGATAAGCATTGACCTTTAAAAATACAAATAGGAGGAAATTTTGTTTCATCTAATTTAAAGTTGGTAAAGTTTAAAATAATATACGATAAACTAAAAAAAAAAAAAAAAAAGGAAGGGAGGGAGAGGAAAAAAAAAAATAACCTGCAGCATATGTCAATATAACAGTGAATCGGTTTTTTTCATTACCAGTTCCATGAATATGTACTGTTTTTTTACCTTTTTCATTAATTGTAACATTCCCTGCCATGTCGAACCAAACAGGAGTTTCATCCATATTGAGAATATTTTGTAACTCAAAAGACTTTTTGGTCCAAAGATTATTTACATAAGTATAGAAATTGTTTAATGCATCATCAGTTTGTTCAGGAGATTTTTGTGAAATTTTTGTGCGACGTTGTAAAGCTAACTGATATCATTTTATAAATCCATGAATTCAACGATTTGATGCCTTAAATTCTAATAATGAAGTTACTGATATGTCTAGATCATTTAAAATTTCTATC